ACAATCGCGCCTTATCACACAAGCCCCCCCCCCCTTCCCACCTGCTGTCATTTGCCGTCTTCAGCTGTCGCGTCGCGTTCCTGTTTTTCCCCTTTGATATTCGTATGAAGAGCAGCTTTCTGTTTCATTTCAGACCTTGTCGCCATCGCCATCGCCATCACCTCTTTCTCCTCGGCCGTGGACCGCAAAACGCCGTTCCGAAGTCGCCGTCGAATTCAAAGCCTTTGTGCAGCACCATGGGACGCAAGAAGATCCAGATTTCCCGAATCCAAGACGAAAGAAATCGACAGGTGAGTTGAGGAGTCATTCAGTGGTGACGACTTAGCGCCGAGATGATCAGGTGCTAAGCATCAACTGCTTACTCGACTTCGTTCGGTTTGTGTTGTGTGTTCTTACTGCCGCCGTGCCGTTGCCGTGCCGCCGCCATTCTTCCCACTTCGTCGTGACCAATGGCACCACTCAAATTTTTTGCTTCAGCTTCCTCCTCCCTCATTGACTGGTCGACTGGCGTCTGGTAGTCGTATATTTCTCATTTTTGTCTGCGCTGAAGACCGTTTGCCTTCTCCCTTCTCTGCTCTCCCGTCTCCTATCCTCTTCTTCGTGGTTCTACTTGATTTTTCTAGCCATCGTCGCGCGCTTCTCGCCGCTGCCATTCCGCACATCTCATCTTTAAACATAAACAAAGCAGACATTTTGTCGAGAGTCATAAAATTTCATTCCAACGACTAACTTTAACAGCATAACGATAGTCACATTTCTGCTGCTTCTCGATTTCGAGACCATTCGTCAAATGCGTATATCACAAAACAAATTTTACTTATTAGATAAATGAAATCTGTTGTTACATGAAATATATAGAGTAACAAACGAACTTTTAAACATGTGTAATAACAATGACTACAATAATAAAAATAATACGGCAACAATAAACTGCATGATAATGAACATACCTTGTTTACGCTCGTGAAGCATTGTTCATGATCAGTGCGAGGTGACGTTAGCAAACAAAATGATATCACATGCTTATGGCACTTTAGCTGCCTAAAAACTTTGAAGCCGTGGTCTACTTAACTTCTCCTCCCCTCCCCCAGGCAACTAGTATCAACAAAACTGTGCTGCAATACGCTCTGAACTCTGGTCTTCGAGAAGTCATCTATTATCTAGTCTGTAATGAGTTTCAATAATAAACCGTACTTCAGTATGCTCTATATCTTTAGCGAGACCCGTTACTGCGTAATAAATTCAGCAATAATTTCCGAGACTCACTCTCATAAGAGTTAAATACCATGAATGAGTATAAGCCTTTACTATTTCTCATTCCTTGGTTAGCAGCACGAAAGACAAGACTTGAATTTCGACTGAATTGGTTTAGGCAGTCAATAACAGATCACGCATCGTAATTCCATCGTACTCTCGTCATTGCTTTCCACCGTTGTTCTCTTGAGTCAGAATTTTACGCAACAAATGACAAGATTGTGTGTAAACCGCAAGTTGGCGAGAAATCGCTTTTCGGTCAAGCAGTGCTTGATGTCCTGCAGAAATGGTTTTCAAGCGTTTTATATTAGAGAAGAATATGCTGAAGATAAAAACTGTTGAGGAAACATTATTTACAAAACACATCAATACATCATAGACCAATTCAGTGTAAATAAATTTTTTATACTCTCTGTTTTCCTCAGTCGTTAAAGATTATTGAGACGGTACAGCATGGAACTCAAAACCATGAGGTTCCGGGTTCAAGTAACGGTCAGGTCATTGGTATTTCGTCCTTTTGATGTTTATAAATAAGTGCCACTGTTTGGCAACGAAATAAGGCACCGCGCTATGCTTGCCACATGACTGTGAAATCTGCGTTTAAGTGATATGACACTCTTGGCTCTCGACATAGAAATGGAGAAGCGCCCCACAATTAGTTTCATGGAAAGAATGATGACAGAAATTAGCTGATCATGAAAATGTAAGGAATAGCCAACCTTCCGACGGTTACAAACTTTTATTTCATTTTTTCTGTCGATATGTTTCTCACACCGAAACGTTTGTTCAAGTTTTTACTAGTAATACGCCAGTACAATCTAAGCTTACTCTAAGAGCAGAGTCGTTGCGTACCTTTCCCGCCCCCTCTCGGAACTGTCAAGAATAAAGTTTCGGTAGCAAATAACAAAACAATACTGTGTGTACAGATCGGAAGATGATACATGATTTGTAATCGTTTTCCATCACACGTGATGATTTGGAAGAATTTATTAGTCACACAGCACGCAACATATAAATTCTGTTCACATGGCACGAGTACATGCAGTATTGCTGTGTATCATTATTGAAACTGTTGTTAACACCTGTTAATTTTTCCCACTTCGGCAAATTTCTTTACATCAGTGGGAGTGAAAGTTCTATTACTAGTGCTAGTAATCGGCAGTAGTGAGAGTACAAGGACTAATACCTGTTATTAGTAGTAGTGAAAGTATTGAAACCCGTACTACGGCTAGTACTGGTCATCAGCACTGGTACTAATGAAATGAAGTCATTAACGACAGCCTGCTGGCAGAGAGGAATCGTGGCGACTGCTACCCCTCCTTTGCCTTACTCTCGAGACAAAAGTTTCGGCAACTGCATGGAAAATCAGAAGCTGTTGACAATTAAATTATTGGTGCCCTGTGCAAACGCTCTTCAAAGGACTGTTTTCTATCGTGCAGCCAAGCATCTGCACGATTTTTCGACGTCTTTGGCGGCAACAGTCACTGGAAGAGAACAGCTGCTTGGATAACTTCAAAATCTCATTCCAAATCCGTGTCATGCAGGGCACAAGTTAACAGGACTTAGTGGTTAACGACACTAAAGATGAATAAATAGTCTTTATCGCAGGTCAAATTTTTCATCGAATTTATGTTAGGCATCATTGAGGGATTACTCGTCAATTACTGTTTGTCATCTACCGCCCGACTTTGGGTCAAAACCTGCGACCTACGATATTGCACGAGGAGGCTGTGTAGTCAAAGTTTCCTTAATGAATGACAAGATCGTTTGTATTTAAACCAAAAGCATTGATAGGTGACGTCGTGCAGAAATACGTTCCAGTCGTTTTCCATTACCTACAAAAATTTTCTGTGGTACAGAAAAGATTTCGAAAGAGATAACTCACTTTGTTAAAATTTGAATGCAACAGCGGAAGCACAGAACAGAAATGAACCGGAGGAAGAGAGTCCAAAATAATTGCTGAAAATTTTAAAATTAAAGTTAATCATTAACATATGGAAATATATAGCTGTTTAAAATTTGACATTTTCTATTAATACCGGATTTATACGACGTAGGTGCACCTTTCCCTTGCTTCTTCTAGCATAAGGAAGCAATTAAAATTTATTAGCTAGATAACCTAGTACGGATTGTCGAGTGTAAGTTACCACTAAACTTACAATTACGTTCTAAATCAGTAACGATCTACCATCTCATCGTGATGAATCACACTTTGGATAGATAGCACTTTTTGCATCTACCCCCTTATGATAACTAGCCTTCGTTGTAACGAGGCTTTTGGCATTATTAATGAGGTAAACAAAATGTTCTGACTTTCGCGGTGCAAGTGTAGGCCTTACTAATAAACTGCCTTATGGAGGCCATAATGGCGAAGCAAAACGTCTCTCTTGTCCCAGGGACCAAAAGTATGGAATCATGCGCTAGAATGTATTACTAAGCACCTAAGCCATGTAAATTAAATTTAAGATTCTACTGACCCCCTCCCAACCTATTACTCATAGTTGCTTAGTGGTCTTTTTAGCGGACGATAGTTGAGTTGAATTGACTGTTTAAGACACACATGTTCAGAACTAAGCATTTACGCATGGTTTGGTGAGAAGTTCACCACTCTCCGGAATATGATCACTTGAACAGCGCATCATAGTTCATATAACGGATTTTCTGTAAAGTTCTCTATGAGAGGGTATGCATAGATATTATGATGTATCAGTTGGTCCCCGTTGCAAGGACATGTGCATAACGAGGCAATCAATCGGTAGCTAGCATCATATGGCATCTTTACAACGAGTTTCAGTATGTTTAATCTCAGAATCGATTAATTGTTTTGCCAAGGTTTCGAAGTTTATTCCAACGATCCGCAGTCCCTGACGCTTATGTTTAAACTCAGCATCGCTGATACCTGGAAAAACGACAGAGCTTGAAAAGTGAGCATAGGCAAGAAGCGTGCATCGACTAATCTTTGGTACAGTGGCGTTTATCACAGGATGCACATAATGGGACGTTTTTCTGATGTTTTTGAAAATACTCCTCTTCCTTGCTTGACATTTTAGATTTGAAATGTGCAGGACACCCAGGTGTTTGCTCTTGCGAACTATCGGCAGAGTTTCACCTTTGACATGTTCTAGTCACGTGTTTGGTGAAGCGTCATGATTCCGACTACTCCGCACCAGAATCCCCATTCGGCTGATTTAGAAAGGTTTTAGAGGAGAGCGAGATCAGAGGTCAAATGCTCGATGCTGAAAAGTTATATACATTTTCATAAGGTTCCATGAGCTGCAGTGATGATCAGATGATCAGCATATTTTACACTGTTAATCGGATAATCGGTGCGACACGAAGTAATGCATAGATTGAACAGTGGCAGAGCGAGGACAGATCCTTGAATGGTTTCGAAATTTTTGGTATGATGAGATGATATTTTAGCGCTTCCCGTATATGGCTGTATCTAACATCATTTTATTTGCCAATAATCGCTCTTGCTCAATTCAGATTTCACAATCTCACATTCGTTATATGCTCGTACGCCGGTATATATTAATTGGCTCATAATTGTACATAAGATTTCACGGCTTACTGCACCGTTTTCTATGTTGCCATGTATAAACAGATCTCAGCTCGATGGTACTCGGAGATCTGCGATGTATGCATGCCTTATGATTTTATTTGCTAGAGCGACTATGTTTGCCATGCTCCTTATATGCTTGCAGATATCCATCACAAACTGGAGTGTTAAAAAGCCCACGGTTGTTTCCCTACTACAGTTTTTCAGATCTTGCTTGTTCTTCATTTGGCATCTATTCGAGTCGTACTTGATTACGCGTTTCCTCATGATGCTGTGCTCTTGTACGACCAAGCCTGTTTTATTCATTGAAATGCGAGGTTGCAGTATGATTGTATTGTGAATGTTGTAATCTTTTTTTACCATCTATCCACCACTGTTGAACTGTCGAGGCAAAACTTTCATTGGAGGAAGAATAGATGAAATAAACGAGAGCTTTCTACAGATGAATTTACTTTTCGACACCACCGCTATTTTTCTGAATGACCGCGTTCCTATCGCTTTTCTTCTAAAACATGATGCGAAAACGATGTTGTAGTTTTCAGGTCGCAGCAAGTGTAATTCGATGGTAGACAGAAGCTAGTTTTTGGCTTTTCCATGTATTCCATGCGATGAACAGCCACTCAAATGCTGATAATCAAACTACGCACTATTTACGATCGGTTTTCCGTTGTACAGAC